GGGATTCTTGGGACGCTGCTTATACTTACGTTCTTAGAACCTTTAAGCAGTACTTTAATCACTGACCGTTCAAACCTTGCACTTTTGTGTTGAATTCGAAAGAGTCAAGATTCAGCCCTTAAACAATGAGTGCATAGCTGTCGACCTGCAGTTTATTCATTCCAACCTGTACCTCGGACTAAAAATACTTTTTTGAATATGATACTTTCAAAACTATTAGACATTTTATACTATCTTTTCTTCACGTTGTAAAAGTGTGCACAACATTCTGTACCTGATATGCCTATGTTATTGTTTCACAATCTTGTATTTTCACAACAAAAAATATTTTCATAAATTATGTGGGCGGTTTACACAGATTGTTGGTCGAGTTCCAAGGTCTTTTGAGCCAAGTGTTGAGCCTGGATTAATCCGTACAATCATTTTCACGGCATGTCCGGTAATGTTCTGCCACGAGCGGTTTTGAAGGTTCCTCTGTCGTTGGGTATTGGTAGATATGTATGCCAGTTGAAAAGAATCACTTTTAAGTTTTGCAAATCTCGAAGTGATAGTCTGGGTGTTCGTGATTTCATTGAAAACCAGGTTGTCAGTTTCGCCCGATCAAATCCATCTGTGGTTTTTTATGTTAAGCCTCGGAGGCACAGGGCACCTCTTCTCGTCGCCGAATATCGCAAGTTTATAGCTGTCTATTTTGCTAGTTTTCTGGTCTTTGTTGCTGAATTCGCACTCTTTTTGGTTCTTTGTTATATCTCCAGTACATCGTTTTCTTACAGTTCCCTTTCATGTGTTTTTAGTGAACGGAAACTGGCAGTATTTGAGGATGGCGAAAATGTCCTCGCAGGAGATAGCTGCGTGGGTCCAATTTATGATCACCCGTTCAGGTGAAAACATTATGCCAATATACAAACCGCGAAGTAGCTACATGCCATCCATACAGGGCATGTGGTCCCCTTATGACACTCCGGATCTGCCAGATTCTCTAATGACACCCTCAGAGATCATCGAGAATCTTCGAGAGCTTTCAGCTTGTAACTTCCCATGGGAGCAGTCCGCACAAGATTATCTTCAGCAACTTCATGAGCGGAGGCAAAGACAGCAAAAAGATTCACCTTGCCAAGTTACAACTTCACTGTAGATAATTCAATGCATCCCAAACAGATAGATATTGTCTGCACAGATTGTTGTCATGCATTGATGATTATCACAAGGTACTCGGATTAATACTGGAATTTGCACTTTAGGCGCAATCCGTAAATGAGCTACTTTTGAGTGTCCTATTAGCGGCATTGTGAAGGCGAGATTGGGGATTCCTTATGACTTGAATCTTCAGGTAGAATGTTTGGATATACTAGGTCTGTTATGTAGCTACGAAAAAGATGTGAGAATTTCTGCATCTGGCGGTTTTCGTGCCCTCAATGTAATGCTTGCTGCGTTTTGAGTGGCGGCGTAGTGTGCTTATTTAATGCATTTAACTGGTAAGAATATCGTGATCAAAATGGGTGCCATTGGGCCTCAAAGAGGTCAGGGTTGTTCCTCCATAGTCTTAGCATTTTGCACGCTCACAATGCTTGCTAGATAGCGGAGGCTTTCCCTTGGCCAGTTTGCTTGGAAGCTGGAGTAAATAGGATCCAAAAGTCTTCAAGGAGGAAGGTTTGTGATTTCGCCTAGGACAAAAGAGGTAAGGTAGCATTTCGAAGCCATAGAGTACCGCACTCAGTGAAGTTTGGGTATACGATTCGACTTCTTAAGCACGAGTGAATATCTAATAAGTCTTAACAAAATGGAAGCAGCCGTCCCAAAGTGATCGAGCCGTATTGATGAACTCTCCTGTTGTGGAAGTGTGGTCCGAATATCATTGTGGTTCATGTTACCCATGGG